ATAAAAATTATAGAGAAGAAAGAAATTGAGGAAAACATTAGGAAGTGAAAAGATAACCCTTGTTCTTGGATTGACAGACTTAATATTGTTAAAATGGCCATATTTTCAAAAGTGATCTGTAGATTTAATGTAATTCCTATTAAAATAATAGCAACATCATTCAGAGATACAGTAAAAAAATCCTAAATTTACATGGAATAGAAAACATTCAGAATAGCTACACAGAATCCTGTGCAAAGAGCAAAGCTGTAGTTATCATAACACTGGATGTCAAGTTGTACTACAAAGTTGTAGTAATAAAAACAACATGAGACTGGCACAGAAACAGCTATGTAGACCAACGGAATAGAGCAGGAGATACAGAAACAACCCTACCCCCTTACAGCTATAAAATTTTTGAAAAAGTTGTCAAAAACATACACTGGAGAAAAGACAGCCTTTTAAAAAAAAATGGTGATGGGAACCTGGAAATTCACTTTCAGAAGATTGAAATTAGGTCCCGATCTTTCACCCTGTACCAAAATCAGATCAAAATGAAGCAGAGACCTTGATATAAAAACACAAACTTTGAACCTTTTGGAAAATCACAAGGGGGAAACACTTGAAGCCATAGGCACAGGCAAGGATTTCCTGAATAACTCTAAATCAACCGGAAATAAAATCAAGAATCAATAAAGGTTATTACACCAAATTAAAAAGCATCTACCCAACAAAGGAAACAACAGAGTGAAAAGATAACCTACAGAATGGGAGAAAAACTTTCCTAATTACTTTTCTTATTGAGGACTAATGTAAAAGAATTAGTAAAGAACTAAAAAAAGAATTCACCTCTAAAAAAATGTTCTAAACAAGAAATGAGCAAATCAACTGAAAGGATTCTTCTCAAAAGAAGAACAAGTTGCCAGTAAGTACATAAAAAAAGTTCAACATTTGTAACCATTAGCAAAACAGAAATCAAAACAACTTAGAGATTCCATGTCATCCTAGTTAGAATGGCTATTATCAAAAACAGAATAAACAACAAATGCTGGAGAGTATGTAGAGAAAAAAGAACCCCTCCAGATTATTGGTAAAAGTAAACTAGTTCAACCACTGTGGAAATCAAAATGGAAATTCTTCAAAAAGCTAAATATGAAAGTCCCATTTGACCTATCATAATACTCCTGAATACATTATCCAAAATAATTAAAAGACATTATACTGTAGTAATACATGAATACCCCTGTTTATATAGCAACACAATTCACAATAGCTAAGCTTTGGAAACAGCCTAAGTACCCATCAATAGGTGAACAGATTAAGAAAAAACATGTATACAGTATATATGCAATGGAGTATCACTCCACCATTAGGAATGAAATTGTGCCACTGCAGCAATATGGTTGGAATCTGAGACCAGAATACTAAGTGAAATAAGCCAGATTCAAAATGTTAAATGCCATGTATGCTGTCCTATATAATTAATCTAAAATATAAGTAAACAAAATAAGGAGAAATGTTAGGAAACTAGCAGGTAGACAGTTGGAGATGAGGAAGGGATTCAGAGGGAGAGTGGAGAAGAAAGCGAGAGGAGGTGTAAAGGGATTAAAAATCGTCAAGATATGTAGTGGGTATGAACCCATTTCCCCACACCAATATCACTATTCTACATTATAAAGATGCAGTAATTAAAAAAAACCAATCATTTTAACTTCCAGGAGCAGATTAGTTATTAGTTTTTTCCTTACAAGAGCATCCATGTGTATTACATTCATTTTTTTTCAGTGATGAAGGCGAGCAACTCATGTCAGTAGCCATCTGCAGAAATTCTTACCTTTGTTCCCTTGCAGTGTCAGGTTCAAAAGTAGAGGCTGTTGCCCCGCCCTTTTGCCCAGAGCTTAGCATCTCTGACCAGCCCTGGGAGAACGGCCGCTAGAGCTTCTCATGATCTCTAAGTAGCATGGGGCACCCCACAGCCCTCACACCCTGTGATGTCCTAGTGTCCCACCGGCGCGGGGCTGGCCCGAGGGGCACAGAGGTTCCTGAGCGCGTGAGCACCCTGAGGAGCTTTGGCTGCGTTCAGAAGCCAACGGTCACCCGAATCATAGAACCTTGCCTGTGTGCTTCGCCTCTGCTGCATCCGCAGACATCTGGAGGGCGATTCCCTTTTCAAGGAACCCACTTGCTGTACTGCACCGGCCTCATGGCCCTTTATCTGAGCAGGTACCTGATCAGGTACTCGGGCAAGCCCAGGGCTGTGAAGCCACCCTCCGCCCGGCAGGATGGGCGTCGGAGGCCCAGGCCTGAGCGCCGAGTTCTGCATGGGGTCCAGGCCGGGCTGGGAAAGTGCTGGAGTCCACAAGGCCATAGCTACCCGGGCCTGGAGATGCGCTTCCGGCAGGCTGCCCTACTGGCTCCGCCTCAACCCAGAACTTTCCTATGCTCGCTACAATTACTTGAAGCAGAGGCTGTGGATCGCCAGGGACCCTCAGCTCCAGAGTCTGGTAAGGGTTCAGGTCAACCCGCCGGTGCGCCCAGGGAGCCTCTACAAGTGCCCACCACGGGAGAAGAGCCCAGACCTCTGCGCCGAGGAGAAGGTGCTGAAAGCCCTCAGCCAATGCACTAAAGGAAAGAGGAAGTTGGAGGAACCGCTCTGGTTTGAGGTCCGGGACCCCAAGAAAAGGAAGCCAAACCCAGAGGCTAGGCCACCTGCCTTCAAGCCAGTGATCAGAAATGGAGTGACCTGTTCCTTTGTGCCCAGGCTGGGGCTGGTGAGCAGAAGTGTGTGCTCAGTGGCCTCCAGCACCCTGAGGAGGAAGATGAATTTGGGCGTGCCTGCAAGCTCCCGCTGGCCTTCCGGTGTGCTGCCCGACCTGTCGCAGGAGCCATGCCAGACAAGGACACTCTGTTACAGCCTCCTCTGGAGAGCTGCGAGCAGCTGCGGCACAGCTTGGGGGCTCAGGGCCTTCCTCCCCTCCCCAGGGGCCACACCAGGAAGGCCCACCCGCCCCTCATAACACTTGCCCCCTTGGCACCTGAGAGGGCCCAGTCACCCCCTCCTGAGACGCAAAGCCCTTTCGTGTTACTGACTTCCACGGGAGACATGAAGCCACCAGATCACTTCGCACTGACTTTGACAGGTTTGCTACCCTCCCAGCCGCCCCTCCTTGTCCTGAGGAGACTACACTGCAGAGACTGTGATTTAAAAACATATCATGACTGTGTTCTCACCTGTCTTATTTGCTTTAATGTACTTATGTAAATGCTGTTTGGAAAAGGTTGCTGGTGTGTTCTATTTGTATTAGAAATTTGTCATTAGAAATTTTACACTTGGGCTGGGAATTTAGTGCAGTGGCACCGCACCTGCCTCACAAGCACAAGGTCCTGAGTTCGATCCCTGATACCAAAAAAAAGCAAAGAAGTTTTACATGTGGGCCATAAGAACAATCAGTTTATTAATAACTCTCTGCTTCCAAGGGTAAGGAATCAAGTATCCTAGTGAAAGAAAGGTGTCAGATGAGAAGAACGAGAACGACTTAGATGTCTGAATTTCGAGGACTCCCTCTCAGGTATTCTTTCCAACTGGTTCCTTTTCTCTTCTTCATCCTCCCACCAGCACAGTCTCCCTCCCTGTGAGGAATGTCCTTTCCTCAGAACTGACCCCAGGCCCTCAGTGTTGGCCTACTTTTTGCCATTTAACCCAAAGCCCGCTCCCTTCACTTCCCTGTCTGCACTCTAGTGGTAGAATACCAAGACTCTCCCTGGAGCCCTCTGCCTTTCCAACACGCAACAGCCATAGCCAGCACTTACAGCCCCTGTCCTATCATCCACTTGGGTTCCCAATGGACCTTTTGGTGTCCTACAGCCGAAGGGACATGGAGAGGGGAAGCCAGAAGGTAGAAAAGTGTGAAGGGCAGCATTATGGGTGTTAGGGAAAAAAATCATTCAGTGACATGTAACAAAACACCACAAGGAGCCTGTGATTGATACAAGGATCACTGCAAGGGGGTCTAGCAGAAGGGAGAAGAGATTTGGCTTCACTTCAAATACTGCACAGGCAAGTGGGGATTTATAGACAAGATGCATGCACTATTTTGTTCACCCTTACAATCTTTGGAGTTATATGTTCATTCTCATTTCACACGTGAAGACATGGTCCCACTGAGAGCTGATATCATTTTGTTGCAGTCTGTAAGTGGCAGAGGCAGGATGCAGTCCTGGCTGTCTGACACTAGGGCCATGTGTGGAGTCCAGCTGTCAAGGGAGAGCTGTGGCACAGAGAGGTACTGATGTGCAGGGCCCTGAAGAGTCAGGAGCAGGGCAAAGACTACTGAGGCCAGCTGCACCTCGCAGACAAATTGAGGCCCCGGAACCACAGGGCCAGAGGCTGAGCCTGGCAGGATCCCAAGAGCTCTCTCTGGGCGACTCAATCTGTTCTCTTTCTTCCAAGGACCTCCCTGTGGGTTCTGAGAAGCCAAGATGGCTGGACAAATATTTGTGGTTGCCTTCTGGGGATTCTTGTGAGCAACATCATGAGCTCCTGGAAAGAGGAGGGGGCATGTGACCAGTTCCATCCCTCAGTACCCTGGCACCTGGCGCCAGCTGGGCATATTCTACCAAATATAGGAATCAGCCAGACCACCCGCTTCCTCTTCATTGTGAGCTGCTCTGTTTCTGCTCAACTCTCCTTGCATGTGTCATGTACTTCTTGCATTTTAGATAATTCTCACAGCATCTAATATTTCATAACCAACTGGAACCCTAAACATCTTGAGAATGTGGAGTGTCCTTTTTCCTAGTACAGGGGATTGAACCCGGGGCCTTTGCACTGAGCTGCATTCCCAGCCTTTTAAATTTTTTTAAATTTTGAGACAGGATCTCGCTAAGTTGCTAAATTGCCCAGACCTATGATTGCTCAAATTTGTGATCTTCCTGCCTCAGCCTCCCAAAGTGCTAAGATTATAGGTGTGCACCACCACACTTGGCTCCACGGAGTATCTATTTCATATACTACCATATAGTTAGTTGCTGCAGACAGTTCCTTTTTAATAAAGAGACAATGAATGAAGGAAGGAATAGGCCTGGGGGACCATATCCTAAACTTCCTGATAGCAGCATGCCTCCTTGATCCCCAGCTTGTACACAGAATCTGTCCACAAATGTGTTCTCATCTGCTTTCTTGGCAGCACTCCTCACCAGTGGATTGAGACAAGAACACTGGGAGCCTCAGAGGCATTGAGCCTCAAGACTTCATTCAGCCTGCAGATAAAACAAAAACAAAACTGTGACCATCAAGCCAGGCCAGGCCTTCCTGAATTATTAAAAATGATTGTGGGCTGGCTCTTAGATCCTTTCCAGCCGTGGTGTTTCTGGGGCTCCTTTGCCCTCTGGCTAGTTGGTGGCATTGGCCCACTGGGAGAACTGGTGGAGCCCCCAGGGCCTCCCTGAGGAGAGGCCAGGACACCCCTCCCCCATTCCCTCTACTTCCTGCCGCCTGTGGCAGCAGCTGTGTCTCCTCTGTGGCCCCAGCTCCCTGGGGCAGCCTCTGTCATCTTGCTGGAGGGAGAGTGGCCAGATTTAATAACTGAAAGACAGCACACCGGTTAAATGCAAACTGTACATAAACTGAATACATTTTTTTTTACAACAAATTTCTGATTCTGGTAAAATAACAAATTTGACATAACATGAACCTTACCATTTTAAGCATTTGAAAGCATACAGTTCTGTGGCATTTAATACACTCTGTGCTAATGTTTTAATAGTGGAAATGATCTGAGTGTTGTTTTTAGCAGGCACCCTATATTTTAGGGGGCAACTTCGCTGGGTAGTCCTTGTTTTTGGGCTTTGATAAGGACAACACCTGCTTGGTGGTCCCTGAACAGTCTTTTCTAGCATTTCTGTTTCCAGTTCCTTCACTCAAATCTCTGAATAAGAGACCTAGGATTGGAGAAGTGGCTCATTGGCAGAGTGCTTGCCTGCTCTGTGTGTGTATGTGTGTGATAAGGGGTTCGATTCCCAACATTGCCAGAAAATAAATAAGACCTAGGATCCACCCTGTCTTTCCTTTCCTTGGCTGGCCCCTGGCTGATTTAGATGAGAAACATCTATTCTTCCATCACCAGGACCCTGAATACCAGCAGAAGTTCTCTGAGTAGCTGAACAAGTCTCAGTGGGTGCCCCCAGCCCCTATCCTGTCCTCAGCTCTTAATCTCCCCCTGCTCTAGAAAGCAGCCAGGGGTTCTTTTCAAGCTCAGGTGCAGCCCCCGCCTCCTGCCAAGGTGATTGGTTCCATGTGTCTGTCCGCAGGGTCACAGGGTCCCCTCCTCCTCTGCCGCCCACCTACCTTCCTTCCTCACGGTCCCTCCTCTGGCTTCGCCCTTCCTGTGGCACGTCTGACACGTCCCCTAAGTCTGCGGCTCCCTCCTGCCTCCCTGCCCCATTTCAGACAAGACAAAGGAAAGAAAAGGGTGCCTCTTGCTGCATTCACTACTTTTATTAATGAATGCATGAACAAAAACAGCTGGCCCTGAAAACATTCCTGCTGAGCTGGGACATTGCAAAAGGAGCCTGGATCTTAGCCTTTTGGTTTGGGGAGAGAATCAACTCACTCCTGTACAATGCAGGGTACCTCCCTAAATCACCAATCCAGAAACATAGTGCAAGAGGCTCTCACTCGTGCTTAAGGCCAGGATGAGCCGGGGAGGTTAACAGTTCAGCTGCTGGAATCTATACAAGAGATTCCTTTCATTGCTTGGCAACTGGATACTTTACATCCTCAGACATCCTGAGCCCCGAGCCAGGTGGAGGAGCACAGCACTCCCAAAAGTGTGTAGCTCAAGCTGCTCTGGGTGCTGTGTGTTAGGACACTATGAACTAAGGATAGAAACAGAGTAAGCATTCAGAAACTTCTAGAATAATTTGACATTGCAGCACCTTCTGAGCACCTGATCATTTTTCTAGGAATTCATTTTATTAGTGTGTTTTAGATTGTGATGAGTTAGAAGGCAAAACTGGCGCTTCACCAGAGGTCATTTGAAAAGTAATGTTTTAAGCAAAAATCCTGAGGCTGTGTTGGTGTGAAAAGACAAATGTCCTGAGGCAAGTTAGCCTCTGCCTCAGTTCTTCCTCTTTAAAATGGGAATGATAATGGCTCCTATCTCTGTGAGAATTCTAGCCCATTCTAGAAAATTCTAGAGCTCAGGATTGAAGCACTGAAGCGTGCCTGCCACACAGTGAGGGTCAGGAGTGGAAGCTGGTATTATTCTTAGTTGCTTCTTGGGTTCTCTTGACTACTCAAGTCCATCAGATCACCTCTTCATGTGTTAAAATTTATGAGAGGCCTCCAGGGATTTACCTCAGTGGTCGTGCCGCCTGCCTCGAAAACACAAGGTCCCAAGTTCGATCCGTGGTACAAAAAAATAAAAAATAAAAATAAAAAATTATGAGAGGCCATTGTTTTGAACGGAGCCCCTGTCTTGGGCCCTAAGGGATCAGACCAGAAGTCACTAGGTGCCATGTGATCAAATTGAACTTTAAAATGAGCCAGTTTTCCCTAAAAACAGGAGATTTGCAGCAACCAATTGAAAAGGGCCCAGTCTACCTGAGCCAGGATGATAAGGCAGTTCCCCTTTGTTTTAACCTTATAAGGAAAGTAACTTTGAAATGGCCAATCTGCTTTTTGTCCCTTAGTTCTGTTTTCTTCAGCCCCTTGCTGCCTATAAAGTCAACTCCCTCCGCTCAGCTTCTAGGAACACTCTTTTTTTTTTTTTGCAGTGCTGAGGATGGAACACAGGACCTCGAGGATGGTAAACATGATTTATAACACTGAGTTACACCTCCAGCACTATTTTTATTTAATAGGTGAGATGCTGCTGAATTCATGGATCACTAATAAAAAATAATTAGATCTTTAAACACAATGTGTCAGAATTTTGTCCTTTAGCGCATGGGAATATTTCCATCCCACACCCTTTTGGGAACCATAGGACCTACAAGATAAAACCTGGGCTTCCAGGGTCAGACCCCAGCCATGGTGACAGAACCTGAGGCCAGCAGGGAGTTGCAGAGGGAAGCCACAGCCAGCTACTGGGGTCTGAGGGAAAGGGACCAAGCTGAGTCTGAGAAGGGTCATAAACCCAGAGTCGAAAACATGAGGATGCCATGAGAGCAGCAGAGGACGGACCCATGAAAAATGAATGTGGGATGGTGTGAGATGTGTCCAGCAGGCAGTCTGGCCTGCTCACAGCTTTCTTTATAGTTCTGGGAATGGTTCAGCCTCCAGACTGCCAATGTTCTCCGATGGCCCTTGTCCCCACCTTCACGTATCTCAGTCACTCCAGGAAGGGCGTTCCTTGCAGATCCTGACGAGTGGTGGAAAGGAGACCTAGCCAGACCTGTTCACTCTCCTAAATTGGTGATTTTCATTCGGTGGTTGCAGACAAGTGTCCTGGCTTCTGAACACCCCTCTGCATCCTGGTTGCACCACTGTGGCCCTCTGTGTCTCTGCTTTTCCCTCATACCGCAGTGCTACTGGAAGGAATGGTCTGTACTGGAGGACTTGTGTTCCTAGTCCTAAATTCACATCCATGTTTTTCTTTTCTAAATGATGAATTGTATACCAACATTTTCAAATTGGGAGAATTCATGCCAAATCTAGAGAACTAGTTTCACTTTGAAAAGCAGCCACTTCAGCTGCACTGGGCCATCTTTCCGACCAGGCCACAAGCTGTTGGAGCTAAGTAGTAGCTGGCCTCTTCTGATGGCACTGTCTCCTGACAGTCTGGCCCTGTGTTTGTCTGCCTTATTTATGTTACCTTTCTGGTATATAGATGCATTTGAATTTGCAAATTCTAATCTAAATTTAGGGCTCTCAAAAAGTCCCCAATATGATTCTCCTTTTAACTAAAAGTGGGTGCATGCTCTTTTACATTTCTATCTGTACTCTGTCCCTTGCTCCATTCCTCTCCCCCAGTCTCAGCTCAGTGGCATTACTATTTGTATTGTATTTCAAGACATTTAGGTCCTAAGTAGGAGATCCCAGATCTGTCATATCATTCTTCATTGTGGGTCCTCTAGTTACTTGAATTAATATTAACATTTTCAATAACACATAAAAAGCTCTCCGGCATGTCAGGCATATAGAAAACTCATGGGAAGCCACTGAAGGCTCTGAAATGAGGGTGTGAGTCAATCAGATTTGTATTTGGAGAAGAATCTTCCTTGGCTGTAATGTGGAGGCAGATTAGGGCAGTGAGAAGGAATCCGTTATGACGTCTGTCCATCGTTCCTGCCCCTCCCAGCCCATGTCAGCTCCACCACGGCAGGGAGAGTTGTCTGGGTCACTGATCTCTCTCCAATAACTAACATGGTGTCTGGCACATAGCAGGTGTGTGAATGCTTCAAACATTCCCCAGTGCTTCAGGGGAGGTTTGCATCCATCTCACATCTGAGTTTCTCTAAGGAAGGCATCCGTCATCCTAATTCCTTTGGCCAGATTGTACTGGGAACTAGCACATGCTGAGGTGGAGGATACAGATGATCCCCTTGTCTCAAAGGGAAAAAGATAGTAATCTAGGGAGTGGTAAGTAGAAAGTAACAGTAAGGGCTCCACTATCCACACTGCAAAATGATGAGTGTGTCAAAAATGGATCTACCCATTGGGAGTCCGGTGTAGTGGCCCACACTTGTAGTTCCAGGTATATGAGATGCTGAGGTGAAAGGATCACTTCAGCCCAGGGATTAGAGATGAGCTGGGCAAGGTAGTGAGACCCCCATTTCAAAACACAAGACAAACCCAAAATGAATCTGTTGGAAGGTCTTTCATCCAGGCCAGCAGCATTGTCTTATTTGGTAATGGCTCTCAGTAAACTGCATGACCTTGGGTTTGTCACTTGAACTTCGCAGATCGTCACTTCCCTCATCATCTATAGAGTGAGGATGAGAAAAACGGTGTTGTTGGCGTTTCATCAGAATTCAATGAGATACTTTTGTAAATCACTTTGCCAAGAGACTGGCACATGCTGGACCACCCAGCATTGGCTCTGTTCTTCTGTTTCTCCTCCCCTTTTTCTTTCTTAGTGCTGAATATTGAACCCAGGACCCCTGTACATGCTGGGCAAGTGCTCTACCAATTGAGCTACATCCTCAGCCCTTTAAAAAATTTTTTTTGAAACAGGTATTTGCTAAGCTGCCCAGGTTGGCCTTGAACTTGTGATCCTCTTGTCTCGGCCTCCGAAATAGATGGGATGCACCACCGCACCTGGCCTCCCCCTCCTGTCTACCTCTTCCTATTTCCACATCACTTTCTCTCTTGTTAGCTAGCCAGCTTCCTCCGGTTTGTCTAAAACAAACAAAAACGAAACAACCCAAAGACAGTAAGCATGGTTAAAGAAGATGAAGGTCCCCTAATGCCCATGTATTAAAGTTTTGGCCCCCGCTGTGTTGCCATGGGAAGGAAATGGAACTTTTCGGAGGTGGAGACTAAAGACTGGAGATGTCCTTCACTGGTGGAGCAGGTGCTTAGCATACATGAGACCCAGACAGAGAGATGGGGGTGGGGAGGTGCCCTTGAAAGGGATTGAGGGACTCCTCTTCCTCCTTTCTTTCTTGCTTCCTGGGCCTGAGGTGAGGGGTTTTTCTCCACCATGATGTTCTGCCTCACCACAGGCCCAAAGCCAACGGGCCAACTGCTCATGAACTGAAACTTCCAAAACTGTGAGCCAAAATAAGTTATTTCAGGTCTTTGTTATAGTGACAGAAAGATGATAAACACAACTCCTGTACAAGGATGTCGAGTTGTCCACCTAGGAAGCAGCTTCATTGCACCTCTGGACTGCACACCCTCATCACCTTTCGTTTGGGCTCTTATATAAAATCATGTTCATGTTTTCTGCCCTCCATGACTCAGCATGTGCTGTGTGTCTCCTAATCAGATGTCATGTTGGGTTTTTGTTGTAGCCCCTTGTGAGTGGCTGTCAACCCAGGGTTTGAAGGTGCTCTTTCCTGCAAATGACCTGAGAGGAATTTTGTATATTTTTCATAGCCTGTATTTTAATCAACTCACTTGAAATAAACTGTCCAAATGGTGGAAAAATCTCTGTAGGGCTTTTTATGTGAAGCAGAAATAGAAAATCTTATTTTTCTAGAAAGGCCTCTCCAGGACCTCACTACCTAATAAAGAAGACCTGGGCAGGCCTGGGATGGGTTGGGACAGGGGTCTAGCCTGCCAGCTTCCTGAGAAGGTCACATTAAGTTGCTGCCTGGCATTTTGACTAGCACTAAGAGCACACTTGAGAGACAGCAGCACACTGATGCCAGCCCCCCTCCCTTCCACTGCCTTCTAAGGCAGGCCAGATGAGCACCAGGGCCATGCACTGTTGAAAGGCACCTACTCACTCCACAGTGTGGCCTAGAAGGGACCAGCATCCAATAGGATGGGGCAGAGTTGTAAACAACTCCACTGGCTACATCACTCTATGCTTATCTCTGTAAATATTGACTCTGGAGGATCAAACAAGTAGCAAAAAAAGAACACAATAATATTTTCCCCCAGAGAGAAGATCCTGTTCCAAATATCCAGGACGCAGTAGAGTGGGAAGGTGTTGATAGCTCACCTGCAAGGTGAAGGTCCCTATGCAGGGGCAGTGCTCTGACTCGGTGGGCCATTTGGATTTCTTATAGCCAGGGGATCACAAATTCAAGCCCAGTTTGGATGACTTAGTGACTTAGCAATACTCTGACTTAAAAAATAAAGGGCTTGGGAAGGCCTTGGGTTCAACCTCAGTACCCACCAATCAACCAACAAACAAGAACAGCAACAACAAAACAGGAACCCATATTCTGGATCATAATTTTTAAATCAGAGGATTGATCTTCCAGGCCAGTGTCTCACAGTAAGGACCCAACTACAGGCTTGGCACCCATTGAAGTGAACTCTTTTTAGGACCAGACACCTTCACAAGTCAAAAGCCCTTAGAACTTAGAGAGACCGTGTCTCAAAAAATAAAAAGGGTTGGGGATGTAGCTAGTAATAGAGTTCTAAGTTCTAAATTCTTACCCCATTTTGCAGGTGAGAAAGTTGAGGCTCCAAGCAGTTTAGTGACTTGCAAAATGAATCACATTGTAGGTTACATGCCCCAGCTGGATTGGAATCTCCAAGTAACTGTCTCTGCAGTGTGCTGTGCTTGTTTCAATCTATGAGTTCTTTCATGTTACAACTCAAATGCCTCTTTACACACTGAAAGTCCAGAGAGCAGGATTCTGGACAAAGAGCAGGGACTGAGGTTACTGCTTTGGCTAAGCTTCCATGTTGTTTATTATTTTGTAAAGATGTGGGTGGAAATAATTATTGATTCTCCATTCTGGTCCCTGGGCAGGAGGAACAGTTTGGACAGTATTGGCAAGATGCCCAGTGCAGCACCCTAGTCATGCAGTGTGCGTGTTTGTTTGTGTGAGTGTGTGTGTGTGTGTGTGTGTGTGTGTCTTCCTGGCATAGTGGTGGAAGATTCACTAGAACTCTCATAATCTTTCCTTTTTCCCAATTCCCAGAAAATGATACCATACAGCCTCTTGGTCAGTGATTATCATTATACTATAGCAGAGTCCAGGCCCAGATGGAAAATAACATCTAGGTATGTATGTAAGTAGGTATGTATGTATTGTGGGAGTGGGGATTGACCCCAGGGAATCCTCTATTACTAGCTACATCCCCAACCCTTTTTATTTTCTGAGACAGGGTCTCTCTAAGTTGTCCAGACTGGCTTCAAACTTGTGATCCTCCTGCCTCAGCCTCCCACGTAGCTGGGTTACAGGTAGGTGCTGAAAAACAATATTCTTACTGAAGATGATGATGATGGAGGAAAAGAAGTAGAGAATGGAGAGAGAGAAAGTGAGTTAAACCCGAGAGAAGCTACAGTGTGCCAGGGAGGGTCAACAAGCAGTGGTAGAAATAGCTGTCGTGTGAGGTCACAGAGAGGACAGGGCATTTTACAGAGTGAGGATGGAGAGACCTCAAGGGGACAATGGTGCACATGCAGTGTGGGTGAGGGGGTGCACAGGGACTGTGGAGAGGACTCAGAGCAGCAGAAGGTGCTCTGTGACATCCCAGAGGCATATGCAGCACAGTTGCCTCCCATGTCTTTACTGCCCTACCAACCAAGAGTAGCCTCCACAAAGGCAGTTTCAAATGGCATTTGTTGTCTACGGCTGAACCCCAAGGGGAATATGGAGTTGAAGTGTGGGAGAGAAAAGAAGGGTTCCAGAAGCACCTTCACAACCAAGGAGACAGCTGCCTTCCAATACCACCTCCAGGAAGCCTTCTCAGTCTACTGCTTCGGCGAGAGTGCCCCATGATTCTTCTAGAGACTCGCTGTTCCCTGGCTTTTAGATTCATAATTCTGCAGCTTTAGAATCAGGGTTATAATTTTCTACATACTCTTTTATTAGTGTTGCTCATGTGGGTGTGCATTGCTTCCTTGAATAGCCTGTACATTTCTCCATTTCTGTTGTATCTCCTTGGCAGTGACTGGTACAGAGCTTCTCTTCTTTTGAGTATATGCAGCACGCTCTTCTTCCCCTTTAGCAATGTATAGATTAAAAAATGCCCATGCTCTTAAATTTGATGCCATTCTCCCGGCTATGTCTTTTATTAAAACTTCCCTTCCTATCTGGAAGCTCTTTGAACCAACTGGGGCCCCTCAGGAGATGTTTATCATGCCATGAAAACAGAGCAGGCTTGATTATTCCCATTTCCCTGGAGAGGGCACCGAGCCTCACAGATGTGCATAACCAATTCACCGGGCCCAAAGATTAAAATAGCTTTGTACCAACATACAGAACAAAAACTGGTACACAAGATGATACCCCAAGGGCCATCTTTTAGATGACAAGTTTTATATGCAATAGAAAAAAATAGTACATTAAATTATGCTTTCAGGAATATTATTACTTGCAATGTTTTACCTTAAATAGTGACTTGGTTTAAAGACAAATATTTAAGAACTAGTAAAGTGGCTCAAAGACATGGTAAGGGTCAGGAGGTTTTTGCATGGCTGACGTTTGGGAACTTTGGCTTAGTGCTCACTCCATGAATGAATGGAGTTTTGTCACCCACCCATGGCCAGGGCAGGAGGTAGGACAGCCGAGTGGACAGCTTACGGCTTTGGCAGTGACCACTGGATCGTCTGAAGACCTTGAGCAAGGAGCTTCCTTTCTTCAGGCTGCAGTTCTCATGTGTACAAAAAGGAAGTCACACAAGCTTGCTCCCGTGGAGAAGGATTCATCTCTCCATTGCAGGCAAAGCTGGACAGGAGGCTCGTGGGGAGGAGGATGTGGAGACAGGAGACAGGAATCAGAAATCCCTTCCTCCCTGAGCTTACAGAGTTAGCAGGAGTTGGAGGAGATAGGTGTAAGGCATAAAGAGTAACACAAAGGATATAAACTCAGGACGGGGTGGGAGCAATCATGGGGGTAGGTGAGGTTTGCCTCAGCTTCAGGACCGTGCTTTGCAAGGGCTGCACCGAGAATCTTGACCAAGCTTTCCTCCTCCACGTCCCTAATCCTCACACTGGCCTACAGAGGACCAGCAAATTGAGGGTCCTACTTTTCCTTGAGGAAGAGTCTTTGTCACCCCCATCCCCTCCCCCCAGTGGCCCAGTTTCCAAACTGGATTATTTCATCATTTCCTCCCATTACTCAAACCTCCCTCCCTCCCCCCTCCACCCTGGTGAGCAGCAGCAGTCTCACTGGCTGGGTTCTGATTGGACGAGAGAGGCTGTGGCTTAATTACAGAGCAACTGAGAAGCCAGGATGGACTGTAAGACTGCAGCACGAAGTCTATGCGGCCTTCTCATCCTTCTTGGGTGCAGTTCAAGCTCCTTTTTCATCATACCCAGCAGCAATTTTGTCACAGATTAAATGTGCCTGCAGCAACTCCTTGCTTTCCACGGCTCCCTGCTGAGACGAGAGATTTTGTGGGGTTAGGGCAAAGAGTTTCAGCTATGTTGAAGGAAGGGGAGAAGCACCAGTTTTGTAGCTTGCACTGCACTGTGCCTCTGTAGTGGGCTTGGTTTTCAGCTGTAGGAGGGGCTCAGCTCTGTGTGTGCCTGTGTGTGTGCATGTGTGCGCTAGTGTGTGTGTGTGTGTGTGTGTATGGGGGCTGGGCCTGTGTCTGCAGGGAGAGGAAGGCAAACTGAAAAGCGGCTGGGTTGCTTCCCATCCTTTATTTGTTTAGCTTTCCCTGCTTCTCAGTGGCCTCATGAGGGTGAGAGTGCGCTAACAGGGAGATGAGATAATCGTGGGGGCCTGCTCAAGTTTGTTCAGACAGGATTGTGTGGCTGAGATCCATTGAGCACACGGGAAAGAGGAGAGAGACAGAGACCCCCAGGGAAGAAAAGGGTAGGGAGAGAGAGAGAGCAAGAACAATACTATAAAAGTGAATGTGAGAACCGAAAGCTGGGATCTGAAAGCTGGGATCTGCCGGAGCACAGAAAAGCTGAAGGGGGCTAGTGTGTGCAATCTTTTCCGTGATGAGGGTCAAGGAGGGGGAGCAGAGATTTTCGGGGAGGAGAGCAGGGTGAGGCAGACAGATTCAGGATTAAGAAGTCCGCTGTGTTACAGGAGCTCCCCCATCGGAATAAGATGGGCTGTTGTTTGCCAGGGCCTGAAAGGTTTATTTAACGATTCCAGATAGAGTATCACCAAACAGATGTACTCTTGTTCCTCGAAAGAAAGGCTGCAGCCAGGAGGAGGGGGGCAGGCCCAGCTAATGGAGGCAGCAGCCCCACTCAAGTTTTTCACAGATGCTGCGCCCTGCTCAAACCTGTCCGGGGAAGCTGGCACTTTCCTGCTGGGATCGGGCATCTGCCTTGACCCCTTCTGCAGCCTGTCTTGATTTCCTATCCCAAGAAGTCTCATGCAGTGCCCTTACCTGTGCCCAGCAGTGACCTAGATGAACAGAATGGGGCTGCCAGGGGCTGCCCAGTTGCCTGATTAGGTCAAGTTTTTCCTCTTGTGATGCAGAAACTGTGAACAGCTCACTGTGGCATTCTGGGAGGGGGTGGGGACCCTCAAGAAGACCTGATGTTTATGGAGTTGGTCTTCCCAGCAGGCACCCTATTGTTCCCTTGGGCACCAGGCTGGGATGCTACAATGGTGGGGTGGAGGCAGATTGGAAAGTGGTCTCTCAGGCTGCACATTGTCCTGGACATGGGCACCTTGGAGAGTCTGCTTTCTAAAACTCAGGAGGCCCAGAGCAAGGGTCAGCACATGGAGTCTGTGGGCCAGTTCTGGCCTCCATCTGTTCTTGTAAATAAAATATTATTGGCACACAGCCGTGCTCATTTGTTTGAATATTATCGTTGGCTGCTTTTGCAGTACTGTATAATGGTAGAGTTGAATAGTTGTGACAGAGACCATATGAAGCCTATAAAGCATAAAATACTGTAGGGCCTTCTACAGAAAAAGTTGGCCAATTCCTAACCTGGAGAACTCTGGCCAGGGGATTCTTTGTTCAACACCTTCCTCCTTCAGTGCAATGGGACCCAAGGCCCCATTCTTCTAAACTTCGTGATTCCCCAACAACCTTCCAAAAGGGAAGAGAAAAGCTGTAATTTGCTTAGTGAGTAGCACCTCTACACAAGGCTTGGATTTTTCTGGTCCTTTGTAAGACGGTGAGCCTGAGAGGCTGGAAGGTCAATATGCCATATGCTGAGCTCAAAGAATCCTTATGACTACCCTGTAAGGAAGATATTATTGTCCACATCAGAAGTGAGGAAAGAGAGGCTTAAAAGAGTCAGAGGACCCAGTGTCATCCAATCAGTAAGTGGCAAAGTCAGCAGGTAAACTCAGACCTCTAATGCTTGCTCTGACCATCACTGAGACCAACAGTTCCTGTGGCTACTGGGAAAATAATACCACAAAATATAAGTACTAAATACTTACATGGTATTTACAATGTTTAAAGCATTTATTTATGTATTTATTTACTTATTTTGCTGTGATGGGGTCAAACCCAGGGACTTACACAAGCTAGACAAGTGCTGAACCACTGGGTTTCATCCCCAACCCTGAGGGTTTTGTGGTTTTTTTGGTACCAGGGATCTAACTTGGGACCTTGTGCTTGTGAGGCAGGTGGCAGAACCACTGAGGTAAATCCCTGGCCCGAGGGGATGTTTTAAAAGTGTCTAAAATATTATAGTACTTACATACAGCAATCTTATGAGGTATTTAAGTCTCTCCAGTCAACAGAT